AAACAACTCGTGAAAATTCGGAACGCGACAGTCACACTTCGATCCTTCAAGAAAGCCTCATTCCACTCAGGTACTTCGACTCTCTCTCTCAGCTTCAACTCTATGGGCTGGGAACTAGACGTGCCTGAGCGGACGCCATGTCCCGAGTTTGGGAGGCGGAGGTGGCAACCCGGCGGAGGAGGCCGACGAGGGCGATAGTTGGATCGTGTTGCCTTCCATCCGCGGCTGCTCTCGGTCCTCCCTGGTCCACATCAGGGAGGTTCAACGATTCTCGTCGTTTCCCCCCGTTGTCTTCCCCGTGGGGAGAGGAACTAGTCCCTGGTCCCCCCGGAGATCTTCGTCCATTACCTCCAGCCGTCTTATTCGCGCAGACACAGCAGCCACTCTCTTGATCTTTTACGCTAGCGTGTTAGAGAGCTTAGTGCGCCCGGCGCAGTTGTAGACGGCAAAAATAAAAGAACCGCGCGGCGAGTCTACCGGCAACGATAAAATACAATACACTGCCCGCGGGTGTGGTAACCCGCCGCATCTGTGATGTTCCGGAGCGTGATGGCTCTGATGTGTTGACGCTGGTGTTGTGATAGCTCTTGTGATGGCGTGATAGCCTAGAGGCGTGACAGCCTGGCCGCTTGATAGCAGGTGGGTTTGTAGTATGGACACGGGCGTGATAGCCCAGAGCGTGATAGCCGGGCAAAGGAAGATGAAAATTATCCAAGGGCACGTGGCCAGCGCCGTTGCATGCAGACACGTATACCCAGAAAACAACAATATGTGGCAAAGATGGTACCACCATTCCCCCAATTTATCACAACTGCGGAACCCCCAAATTCCCCCGCTCCATCTGCTCGGAACGTTCCTTGATTGCAATAATCTGTCAATGCTGTGAGTACATCCAACACCGTACTTGCCATCTCGGGGAGTGTAGGCTGAGTCGTACGGTCTGATTATTTCCGGATTGGATTTGGGAGGGGTCCTTTTCTGAGCCAAGAACTAATTTGGGCGTCTTCCGGGTAGGAAAATGGCAAATTCCAACAGTCCAAAATCCAACAGCGATTCCGGCCGGCCTGTTAGAAAATTGGCCCATTTTCCAACAGCGATCCTGTTGAGATATCGCTGGTCACACCCCGATCGTGCCAGAACGAGGAACTACACCGTCTGCTGGCCAAACAGCGGCCAGTATCATGAGGTCATGCACAAACCCTCTGCAGGTATCCAAATTTCAGGGCGTTCTGCTTCGTGTTGGCCGCACACGAGCCGAAAACGTCAACCCTGCCACATTGCTTACGCTCTTGCCTATGGGCCGAAAAGAGCTGAATGAATGTTGATTGGTTGATTGCCCATAGAAAGTAAAGAGCTTTTTTTCGGGTCAACGCGAAGTTGGCAGGAGTGTACAAAGAACCGAACGGAACTATTTTGGCACTTGTTACATGTTATCATATCATAGACCAAATACCACGACACAACCGGGTACGAACGCCCCCAATATTACCGAGGCTTCACCCCAGCGTGCCGTCGCGCTTCGGGACAGGGGGTTCTCAAACTCCGGTGTACGCAGGCCGAATTCGCAAGTGAAATCAATCACGGAGCCTTTGTTTTTTGCGATTTACAGAACAGAGAAAGAGAAAAATGGGGTTGTGGGCAGAGGAGATCAAGAAAGTTCAAGAATAAAAGCATTGTGCTACTTGCCCCTGCGACAGGTGCGCCGCCGCCTAGAAACACATGCCTTGAAATAAAACGGCACCCCAAGGCAGCAATCAATCATGTGTGTTTCGCTCTGGTTTGCTACTATGGATAGAATGTGGCCACATCAACCGAGCAGAGAGCGCCACAGACGCGTTCGTAAGGTCGGAACTATACAACGAACGGAAGGTGACCGCGCCTACTCAACCCTCTTTGCTCGAAAGTGGTCATTTTGCGGGAGGAACGGAAAACACACACACAAAGACGGAGGAGCAGATCATGTTTCGTTTCCAAGACCACCGGTACACTCATCATCACTAAGCACAGCAGCCGGTAGGCATCCCTCTTACATGGGTATGAAGTGCTCAAAGAAGGCGGAGAGAAACCTCGACTCCGGGAGGCCACCAAGCCCGGTCACAGGCGCGGCCGCGAAAGGCGCTTTGGCGAGCGCTGAATCGTTTCCCCCGTCAAATGAAGCCGTAGCTTTTCTTTTCCCCGCTCCCCCGCCCTCCAGCTTTGCTGCCGCTCCACGTGGCCTCCCCAGGCGTCTCTTGGTCGAGTACTGGCAGTTCCCCCCCGTCCGTTCGCATCGCTGGCAAGGTAGCTCGCCGCTGCATTTGCATCTGCGGCAGCGGCGGGGACAGCAGCGACACGGCAACAACAAAGATGTTGGATTTTGCTTTGCGGTGTGTGTGTGCGTACATTGAAAGGTGAAAGGGCTCTTTTGGTACCTGCTGCTGCTGCTTCTCGATAAACTGCTGTGGTGGACTCACTTCTTCTTCCAGCATGCGTCGCATGATGATCTCAGGAGAGAGAGAGCGAAGGGCTCTTCCTCGCCGTCCAATACTGTTGGATAGGGGTCTCCGCCTCCTTGCGTTGTCGCCATGTTGTATGTATCGTGAAAACAAGGAGGGATGGATGACGTGATGCTGGTTGATGGGCGCCGGTTGATGGGGAAACAACAAGGGGGCGTCGTGAAATGCTACAGCGCCGTACCCGAACATTTTATAACTCACGGCTGCTGTGGTGGCTGCGCATGCACTGCTGTACATTCACTGACTGCTGTGGCTTTGGCGTTTGCGTGCATTTCATGTCACGGCGGCTTGCTCTCACGGTAAACCGCACCACAACTTATTTAGCGCAGGCTTGTTCCTCATAGTAGGGAGGGTTACTACTGCTGTGAGTAAACGTGCCACGGACGATCTCTCGCAGCAAGTGTATGGACTGAAGCCGCCGTAGACTTCCCTCTGTAATGTGCAGCGCGTCCTTCTGTGTAGCCTCCAGGCCGAAACCATCGTTCCGAGACATGTCGCCAGAGAGTTCCCCAGAGCGCTCAATCAGGCGGGAAGCACTCCCCATCCGTGCGTTCGGTGTGATGACCATGCACCATGTAGTACCACACACACACGCGGTTTAAAAAAAAAAGCGTTGCCTGCATTAGTTGCTGAGTCTGCCTGCAGTGAGGCAAAGAGAAAAAAAAATGAATTTGGTTGGTACAGCAGCAAATGACGTGTGGAGTTTGACTGGCAAGTTACGACATCTTACCTCCGTCGTACGGGCAGGAAAGTATTTCGTGTGGCGGCTTGGGTTTGTCACAGGGCTTGCAGACAACGATCAACACGTGTCGACGGTTATGAAAAATCCACAGTGAGTTTGGGTGAGGAGTTTCACGCGGATTTGGAGTGGTGGCGGTGGGCCGTAAGCCAAAGCTTACTGGCGGACGGCGTCTCTCTATATTCCCCGTTTTACGATCACGTGCAATGGGAACCGACGCGGCATTGGTTTTCCGATGCTACGCTTGACGCTATTGGGGGCTACTGCAGCGAACGGGGTGTGTGGTGGCGATACGATTTGTCTCCAGAGGAGAAACGTCGTTCCTCCGATACGGCTTCTTGCGGGCGGCAGAACATGCTGTCCATCAATCTGTTGGAAGCGTTGGCTATGGTTATCAATGCGTACGTGATGATTGTCGTACTTAATGACCGGCCGGTTGTCACTGGGGAACCTGTTCTTTTTAGTGGTGATAATACCTCTGCCGTGACATGGGTTAACAAGTGCGGGGGCACTCGGGAGCCACGTGCAGCATTCATTATGAGATGGCTGGGCGTGTTGGAGATGACAGGAGGGTGGTGTTTCGAAGCGGCACATATCCCTGGAGTCGAGAATGTGTTGGCGGATGGCATTTCACGGTGGACACGCGCGGATATTCCTCGCCGACTAACTGAGCTGTCTCCTCTCTCGCGTGCGTGTTGGCAGGAGGTCAGTTTGGGGAAGGCAGGTGGGATGGCATGTTCGGAGATCTTGCGGTCTTACTCTCGACGGTCGGAGTTGCTCCGTCGACTCACGCCACTTATGCAGCGGCTTGGAAGCTTTGGGTAGAATGGCGAACGGTCGCGGTGCGTAAGAGTGTCTACCTGGACGAGGCGAGGGGGGAGGAAGTATTGGCACGCGAGTTGGCGAAGTACATGGCGTACCTGTTTTTCTGTCGGGGCAACAAAATGTCCACGATTGCGGGGAAGTTAGTGGCGGTGAAATACTATCACAAACGCATCGGGGTGGACCTCCCCATGAAACATCACTTTTTTCGGGCGGTCAAAGCGGGTTTGGCGAGAGAGAGCACGCTGCATACCGAGAGTCGAATGAGACGCCCCATCTCATGGACTATTCTTCGGAGCGGCATTCGCACGGCGGCGGCCTGGGGGGAAGGGGGACGGGTGTTGTGGCTCGGCCTTGCGGTGTCCTACTTTTTCATGTGCCGTCCTTCGGAAATCTTCGCGTACGGTAACGGTAAGATTCACAAGGAGTTCGGGATTACGCGAGGCAATGTGGCGTTTTGGAAAGGGGAGCAACAGCTACTGACACCGGCACTGTGGCGTTGTGCGGATAGAGTGGAGGTACTGTTTGAAGCGTCAAAAAGCAACCACGACGAAGCCGTGGTGTCGCGGGTGAAGACGTGTCCGGGGTTGGCGGCGTTTGACTGGGAGTGGAATGGCACCGGTGAGGTACCGAGGGGTATGGTTGGAGTCGGCGGGTTCGAAGTGTTGCTGGAATTGATGTGCTGTTTTCCGCAACTCGATGCGATGGCACCGATTACCGCGTACCCTTCTGGTCAGGTGTGGAAGGTTTGGACGTGTGCTCAATCCTCGTCGGCGCTACGCGACCTCGTGGCTGGTCAAGGTTTGAAGCCGGAGGAGTATGCGCCGCATTCCGGGAGGATAGGTGGCGCGACTCGGTTAGGGGCGATGGGGTTGTCGCCGTGGGCTATTCAACAGCAAGGGAGGTGGAAATCAAGCGCGTTTCAATCGTATTTGCGGGCCAATATGGATGACGTTCAGAAGGCGTCTTTCGCGCTGGCATCTGACGCTGCTGGGAAGGGGATTCAGCCCGGGCAAAAAACGCGGTGGCAGGGAGGCCGGCTGGGTGCGAGGTAGTGTTCCGGGAGTGGATTATCTCTGTTCTGTCTGTCTCGTGTTTATTATGGTTTGTTTGGGTTGGGCGGTCGTACGCCTTGTTGTGTCAGGGGTACGATTAAGTGGTCTTTCTGCAGGTTGGATGGGAAGGTGGGGGATGGGGGAGAAGGGATGTATTTGAGAGTGGGGGATGGGGGGAATGGGGGGGGGAGAGGTGTGGTAAAGGTGGAATTAAGTGAGAGTAGGAAGAAGACGGAGGCAGGTGACTTGGAAGAGCAGGCTGTTAAGGTGGGGTAGCAAGTGGAGGTGTGACAGCCTGCTTGGGTCTACGTTTGTGGGTGGGATGTGAAGGAGGAACCCGGGGAAGACTTGGTGTATGGTAAACCCGGGTTGCGTGATGAAGTCGTGGGGTTCCATGACTTCAAAATAATAATAATTCCAGATTCATGAGCATAACAAATTTGGATCAGTACGGACATACGAAGCTACTGGGTGGAGAGAGATCGGAACGGTTTTTAATGGGAAGACAACGATCTTGATGCTAGTAAGTTTTCAAACCAAATCACATGTACGTTTCTCCCGACCAAAAAGGTTACGCATAGCAAGCCCAGAAGCGCTTATTATCCTCACCTCCACGAGCTGGAAAGCGTGTTTCGTTCGCTCTGTGGAACAAATAAAGTAGGACACAGAACTACCATACAATTTTGCTTAGGCATGACCCACCTCGAGGGGAGGGGTCTTTCTAGCGAGCAGAGCTAGACTCATCCTCAAGGGACCGATAACTTCTCGCTGCGGCGCACCCGCCGCGAGGCGTGCGTAGTGGTGGAGTTGGGTCGGCGCTGACTGGCGGTGCGTCAGGTACAAAGGTGCAGATGCGCGGGCCTCCAGGCCGTCGGTGTAGGCAGCAATGCCCATCTCATCTTTGTGCGCGGAGGCAGACGCCATCAGAAAGGTGGACGGGCACTATGTACACGGCCCTAGGTTTGCTAGAGGGAGCTGTACTGTCTCAGTAACCTGGTTTTGCCATCACAGGAGGAGGGCACAGGTGGTGACGAGCTGATTGGGCTGGTTGAGCCTTCGGCGCGAGAATTTTCAAACCAAGAACCCTAAGTGCAACGAGGGAGAAAGCGAGTAACCGACTGGGAAGGACAGCAACGAGATCGTGTAAGAAGCGGAGCGGGTCGAGTTTGGTCGTGCTAAGACTGGCCACAGCGGCACCGGAGCAGCGGAACCGGAGCATGCGGACGGCATCGAACCCTGGCGCACGGACAAACATCTCTTGTTTGTGTTGTCAATTTTTTTCCTTTTTTATTTCCTGAATATAACAGGTGTTGTGTGTGTGCGATGACGTCACTGGTTTTATAGAGAGATGCGGCAGTGATGGCGCATATAACCCGGGTGCCTAAATTGTGTACCTGCATCGTCGAAGATCCCTTCAATCAATGTGGAACGATTCCTAGTCAATGTCGATGTTTAGAGTAAATGTGGCAGTTAAGGACCACCTAAGCCCCCACACACTCAGGCAGCTCGTTCTCTGGCGTCCCGATGATTGATGGAGAGGTTGGGGTATCGGATGATAGCCTAGAGCACACCCTACCAGCCCAAAAAATGTTTTTTGAGAAAAAGGTGAGTGGCGATGAACTGCTGTAGCCCTCGAACTATACCCATTTTCCAGGAGAAAATGCGGGAAAAATGACGGTGCCCCTGTTACGGACCACTTTCGGGTAGTGGCCCAAAGCTTTTCAAGACCTGATATTTGGCACACGAGCTGGTAATGTGATGTAGATTCCATTAAAACAAACAAAAAAAAAATCGGTCCACACCCGGGGACAAATTGCCTGTATCCCCGGTTTTTCGGCTCCATTACCGGGGGGGGG